GGGCCGTCCTGGAGGCCTCTCGGGCCGTCTTGGAGCCGTCTTGGGCTGTCTTGGGGCCCTCTTGGGGGCCTCTTGGGCCCTCTTGGGGCGATCTTGGAGGCCTCTTGAGCGGTTTAGGGGCGTCGGGGAACCGAAAAGGTTAAAACGCCCAAATCTGTCCAACACCAAAAGAAAAGCACAGGTTTTTGCCTCTTGGGGCCCTCTTGGGAGTTCTCTTGGAGGCCTCTTGGGGCATCTTGGAGGCTTCTTGGGCCATCTTGGAGACGTCTTGGGCCGTCCGGAGGCCATCTTGGGCGTCGTGGAGCGATCTTCGGGCGTCTCGGACCTCTCTTGGATCGTGTTGGGGGCGTTCTTGGGGCCCTCTTGGGCCGTCTTGGAGGCCTCTGGGGCCGTCTTGGAGCCGTCTTGGGCCGTCTTGGGGCCGTTTTGAGGGCCTCTTGGGCCCTCTTGGGGCGATCTTGGAGGCCTCTTGAGCGGTTTAGGGGCGTCGGGGAACCGAAAAGGTTGAAACGCCCAAATCTGTCCAAAACCTAGGAAAAAGCATTGATGTTTGCCTCTTGGAGCCCTCTTGGGAGTGCTCCTGGAGGTCTCTTGGGGCATCTTGGAGGCTTGTTGGGTCATCTTGGAGACGTCTTGGGCCGTCTGGAGGCCATCTTGGGCGCCGTGGAGCGATCTTCGGGCGTCTCGGACCTCTCTTGGATTGTGTTGGGGGCCTCTTGGGGCCCTCTTGGGGCGATCCTGGAGGATCTGGGGGAGTGTCCCGGGCTCCGCCCGGGGTACTTTTGATCCAGGGACCCCCAGGGGCCGCCCCGCGCGCGCGAACTAGAAATACTGTTTACCAGTTACCAGAGATCTTAGCACGCCTCTGGCCCGTTGGGCCGGCGAATTTTTGCGGGGGGGTTCAACCAGAATCTTTTGCAAAGGCAGGCATTAGGATTCGCCAGCGCAGTGCCAAAGCAGTGCTAAGGCAATGCCAACCCAATGCCAAAGCGACCCCAATCCAGTGCCAATGCCATGCCGATGGGGGCAATCCTTTGTGGTAGATTCCAATAAGAACCCCCCTGGGGTGTAAAATAGGAGTCCTGCTGCGACGGGAGGCATTGGAGCTCGCCAGCGCAATGCCAAAGCAGTGCCAACGCGATGCCAGCGCAATGCCAGTGCGATCCCAAAGCCGATGCCAATGCAACGTCGTTGGGGGCAATCCTTTGTGGTAGATGTCAAAGGGGATCCTTTTTTTTGCGGGTTGGTTAAGCAGGAATCCTTCTGCGAAGGGAGGCGTTAGGACTCGCCAGCGCACTGCCAGCGCAGTTCCAACGCAATGCCAACACAATGTTAAACCAATGCCAATAGGGGGCATCCTCCCCAGGTGTATTTCAATGAGAATCCTTTTGGGCCGATGACATTGCGAACCCATGTTCGGAGGATTACATTAGGAATCCCAATGTGAAGGGTTTCAAATGTATTCCTTCTATGGAGGTCTTCAATGTGAATCCTTCTTGTGTGTGTGGGGGGTCACTAGGCATCCTTCTTGTCGGGGTGGATAAATAAGAATTTTCTTGTGGAGCGTCCGACTGAGGCTCGCCAGCGCAATGCCAACGCAGTGCCATCACAACGCAAAACCAATGCCATGGCGATCCCGCTCCTGTGCCAATGCGATGCCAATTGGGGAAATCCTTTGTGGTAGGTTCCAATCGGAGTCCTTCAGTGGAGGGCTTCGCACGGAATCCTTCTGCGGAGGATTTCAATCTGAACCATTTTTGTGGAGGGTTTCAATAGGAGTCTTTCTTGTAGGGGGTTTCAATGGGAGTGCTTCTGTGGAGGGTTCCATCAGGATTCGCCAACGCAATGCTTGCGAAATGCCAGCGCAATGCCAACGCACGGCAAAGCACAATTCCAGAGCAATGCCAAACCATTGCCAAACCAATGCCAATGCAATGCCACCGGGGGCGTTCTTTCGAAGCATCTCAATAGCAATCCTTCTGCAGGTGGTTCCAATAGGAACTAACATGTGGAGGATTTCAATAGCAATCCTTCTTTCGATGGTTTTGATAGGAATGCTCCTGTGGAGGATTTCACTATGAACCCTTACTGTTTTGGCTTTCAATCGGAATCCTTCCAGAGGTGAGGGCCAATGAGGCCACGTCGGATTTTTGTTTTTTTCGCCGCCGCCCCCCCACCCCCTACAGAAAAACACAACGACTTCGCGTGTTTTTTTTTTTGGGGGGGGGGGGGACGAAGGAAAACAAATCCGGGGCCTCCCTCTCCTCCTCTGCCTCCTCCTCCTCCTTCTTTCTCCTGCTCCTCCTCCTCCTTCTACTAGAATCGAGTTGTTTCTTCTCCTGCCCCCCCCCCAAAAAAAAAACCCAATAAAAACGGGAGGCAACGAACCGTTTTGTTTTTTGGGGGAGGGGGGCAGGACAAGAAAACAGCTCGATTCTGGGGGAAGGAGGAAGAGGAGGAGGACGAGGAGGAGGAGGAGGAGAAGGAGGAAGAGGAGGAGGAGGAGGAGGAGGAAGAATAATGATAATAAGCAGGATAGTAAGAATACTCATAAGGATAATAACAACAAGAAGCAGACTATTAAGAATACGCAGAAGGATAATAAGAAGAAAAAGGGTAAGAAGAAGAAGAAGAGGAGGAGGAGGAGGAGAGAGCAGGATGAAGAGGAGGAGTAGGACAATATATAGAAATAGGAAGAGGGGGAGGAGGCGAAGGAGGAGAAGGAACAAGAGGAATAATGTTCGAAAACTCCACGACAAGAACTAGATGAAACCACTCTTCGAAACGAGATGTACTCCACCACCACCCTGCTCTCGAGGAGTAGGACGAGCAGTGGGGGAGGAGACAGACGAGAGAGGAATACGAGGAAGAAGCAGAGAAGCAGAGACAGGTATGCTCACAAGGGGTTGCGACCACACACACATATACATATGTATGTCTATATGTGTATATACATATGTGCATGTATGTGTATATCTACATATATACAGGTGTATACATATGTATCATGAAGAAAAAGCCCCCCTCCCCGGCCCCGGGTCCCACGCCTCCCCGTGACATCTCGGGGACGCTCCCGGTACCGCTCCCCCGGCCTTTCTGGGGAGCCTCCACAGCGCTCCAGGAGGGCCATGACGCTTGCCACGAGCCCCCAGAATGCGAAAGGATGGCACAAGTCGCTCCCAAGCAGCCCAAGTCAGCCTTCCGCCGGCTCTCGAGGCTCCCAGGTGGTCTCCAAGAGACCCCAAGAGAGGTCCGAGAGGCGTCCCAGGACGGCCCGAAGAGGGCCACATCGTTGATTTTCATTGTTTTTTCTATGTTTTGGCTTCTCGCGTTTTCGAGCTTCCAACGGTCCAAGAGCTCCGAAGAGGCTCCCAAGACCGCCCCAAGACCACCCAAGAGACCCTCAGGACTGCCGGGGAGCTCCCAAAACGCTCCAGCGCGCCCCACGGCAGCCCCAAGAACCCCTCAGAATGCAAAAGAACAGCTGGAGATGCTCTCAAGCAGTCCAAAACAGTCTGTGGACGGCTCTCCAGGCTCCCAGGAGGCCTCCAGACGCCTCCAAGACACTGCAAGAGAACTCCGAGAGACGTCCCGAGAGAGCTGGGAGAGCAACACAAATCATTGAGTTTCGTTTATTTCCGAAGTTTTCGATGTTTTAGATGTGTCATGCTTCCAACGCTCAGAGACGAGTGAGGAGACTCCCAAGACCGCCCCAAGACCGCCCAGAAGCCTCCCAAGACAAGCTCAAGGCGGGCCCAGGACGGGCCCTGACATCTGGCCGGTACCGCGCCTCCCGGCTTCCCGGGGGGCCCCCGAGACGCCCAAGGACAGCCCAAGGCGACCCCAAGGAGCCCCCAGAACGTAAGGAACGGCCCAACATGCTCCCGCGCAGCCCGAGACATCCTTCCGACGGCTCTCCAGGCCTCCAGGAGGCCTCCAGAACCCCCAGGGGGTCTGGAAGATCCTACACCCCTGAGGGTCCCGGCTAACAGAACCCGCGAGGCACAAACAAAAAACAGCGCCGAACAGCGCCGAGGAATTGGAACAAAAATGGGAATCCCACAATTCCTTTTTCTTTTTTTCCAAGTTTGGCCCCCGGTCCATTCTTGGACAACAGACCACAATTCAGACCCCCCTCACCTCCCAAAAAAGAACCCAGTAAGCCTTTGAGGGTAATACTTAAAGGAAATGAGTGATTTTTGCGTTTCCGCACTTCCCCTTCTATACGATTCCGAGGCTTGCGTAGGGCCTCCAAGGGAGTCCCTGGACGCAAAAAGCGACCAACATGACATTGCACGAGTTAGCCTATCAAGCCTCGCTAGAACTTGAGCGCGCGCGAAGCGCGCGCGATGGTTCTAGTATATATTATATATATATATATATATATATATATATATATTATATATATATCCTTCCCCATGAAGATATGCCTTCACCCGTGCCCCTCCCTGTCAGTCTGGCCGTCTCCGCTTCTGTCTCTGTATTCCCATTCACCTCTCTCTCTCTCGCTATCTTTCTCTCTCTTGTTCCATTTCCCCCGCACACGAAGCGCAGGGCAACGGCAAGTCCATCACGGATCTCGCGCGGGACGGCGTCAGAGAGGTCATCTGCAGCATGGACAAGGACGCTTCGTGCCGCCGTTCGCCCCCCGCTTCGATGCCGTCTGCTTCGCGCGCGCTCTTCGCCCCGCCTCTCCTCCCCCCCCGCCGCGCAGAGCCGGAAATCGAGGGAAACTTCGGCAGCAAATCATGGGAGACGTGTGCACCTCTGTAGTTCCGTCCTCGGAACGCACTCGCGTCTGGCCATCGACGACATAGCGCCGACTTGGCGTCGATCTGGCGTCGATCAGCGTCGTCCAGCGATGTCTTAGCGCCGACGAGCGCCGACTAGCGTCGAGCAGCGTCGATCTGCAGGGCGCCGGCACGCGGCGCCGGCAACCGCAGGTCCCCGCCGTCGCGGTGTTGTTCGCGCACAGGCGAGGTGAGTCTTCCCAGAATGGGCAGTAGGCCCAGGGCTCTCTGGCAGAAAAAACGCCCCTACCCTGGTTTACGAGGCGCTGTGCTCTGGTGGCATCCGGCTTCTGCATGGGCAGCGTGGCAGGTGTTGAGTGGGTGTGGTTGTCCTCCACACACATGGTGATTGGCTTCGTCAGTGAGCGGCCCCGCGTCGAGTAGTACAGCCTTCCGCGTAAGTTCGTGTCGCTTTTCTCGGCGCAGCCACAGCCCCAGCCCTCGCCGGACATTGCATCGTTGTGCCCCCGAATTGCGTGAGTCGGATACGATGTAAGTGGACTGGCTACCTGCTGGTGGTTGTCAGCCTCGTGCACGCACACCAGTGGTCTCTTATTGAATGGTGCCCCGACATCCCTCAGCGACACCAGTGCGCAGCGGCTTTTGGCTGCGCCCCCCTCCTGTCTGTGGCCCGCCCTGGTCCGTCGCCGACCGGCCATGGTTCTACCACAAGGACGTCTTGGCCCACCGTCAGCACGCCGCCTACGAGCGGTACGGCCCAGCAGCTCGTTAGCCGCCAGCCAGCGTCTCGCCGCCGGCGTCGGGATGGCAGCGGGCAGCGTGGCAAGTGTGGATGGGTGCAGCTGTCAGCCATACACTCGGTGACCCCCCCGGTGCTTGGTTTCGTCAAGTGAGCGGCCCTGCATTGAGTGGTTCAGCCTTCTGCAGTTCGTGGTCGTTCTCTTCAGCACAGCCCCGGCTACCAGCCCTCGTCAGTACTCTGCATCGTTGTGCCCCCGAACTGCGTGAGTCGGATACGATGTGCACACACTGGCCATCGGCTGGAGGTGCCTCAGTCTCGTGGACGCACACCAGTGGTCTTTCTCTACTGGATGGCGTCCTGACGCGGATCAGCCACACCTTAGCTCCAGTGAGCCTTGATGAGTCAGGCCTCTTTCGCCGCACCACCGTTCACCCGGGGTGCCGCAGTGAGTCTGAGTTAGTCGTTCGCGCTCGCATTTCCGAGGTCTAGGCCTGTCACTGGGTGCTCGCACGTGGGCTTCGCTTGGTCATTGGCCATTCGGATCCGCGCATGCGGCTTTACAGTGCCCCGCGGCCCATTATGGCCTCGCTTCCGAATGCGGTTCGGCTGGAGCTTGGCGCCGCAAGGGCGACTTCTCCCCCCCGTTCCGCTGCCGGTCGCCGCGCCTTTGCTTCCCCGCCTGCCGGGATGTCTGGGCCGGTCACCTGCCGACGCCGTCCTGCGTCCTAATGAGGGGCATTTTGTCCCTGGCATGTTCATACGCCACTGCGGCCAATTTACATCGTACCGCGCCCCGGACGTTGTGCCCGTTCCCTGTCCGTCGCCTTGGAGCCGCGAACCAAAAAGTATTCCCGCCAGCCCATCCAGAAACGATGTCCAGGCGAGTTGAAGTGATCAGGGAAGTGCGAGAGCAAGGAAGGGGACGGCCGAACCGTGCGAAGGAGGAAGGAGGAGGAGAAGGAGGAGGTTGGATGGATGGATGAGGGAGTGGGGAGAATGAGGATGAATAGGATGAGGAGGAGGAGGAGGAGGAGGAGGAGGAGGAGGAGGAGGAGGAGGAGGAGGAGGTGGAGGAGGAGGAGGAGGAGGAAGAGGAAGAGAAGGACTAGGAGGAGGACGGAGGAGCAGGAGGAGGAGGGCAAGCAAAAGGCCAGGGGTCTCTTGGATGCCTCTCGGAGCCTCTCGGGGTATCTTTTGGGCGCTTCTTGGTGGCCTCTTGGGACGTCATGGGGGTCTCTTGGCGGTCTTGGGGGGCTCTTGGGCACCTTGGGTGCCTTGGGGGGGCCTCTTGGGGCCGCTTGGGGTCCTCTTGGGGACCTCCTGGGGGCCTCTTGGGGGCCTCTTGGGGCCATCTTAGGGCCATCTTGGAGGCCATCGATCAAAGAAGAGGAGAGCTCGTTTTAGCGTTGCCCCCCCCCCCCCCACGAGGCCAAAATGGGGCCAAAACCATAGTAAACCAATGATTTTGGCTTCCTCGCCGAGGCCGTTTTGGACGCCCTGACCGCTCGCGACTGGCCCCGTTCAGGTCCAGGGGAGAGGAGAGGGGAGAGGCGCAAACCCCTCCCCGAAGGGGAAGAAGGGGGGTGGAAGAGGAACCTTACTAATCCACCTACGCCCAGAGGGCTGGTGGGATTATCCGGGCGAAGGATCCAACCATGTGCAGTTGTGAGCACCGCGGTTGAGAGAATCGTCTTCAGTGGAGCTACCTGCGTATGGCGCCACGAAGCGCTCGAGGGGCGTGATGGCAGTGGGGGGGCGCACGCGAACTGTGCCATGGGGGCCTCTGGTGGAGGTCCCGACGGGGCCACTAAACGCGTGCGAGGGCTGTGCCGAAGTGGGCCCAGGGTCTGCATGCGAGCGTCGCCACACTGAAGCCTTCGGAGGAGCTCCCTGTTGGGGGCCACGGAGCGTGCGAGGGGTGTGCCGAAACGGGTGCGGCTGTGGCATGCGGGCGCGGCCACTGGGTCTGGCGGTGGAGCTCCCCATGGGGCCACGAGACAAACGAGGGGTGTGCCGAAGTGGGCAGGGGAGACGCAGGCGAACGTCGCTGCTGGGGCCTTCGGAGGAGCGCCCTAGGGGGTCGCTCCGTTTGGGGCCACGGAGCGCCCTGGGAGCGCGGAGTGCAATTCACGAGTGATCGTGCCCATTGGAATTGGAGAACAGCGTAATTTACAAGGGATCGATGCCATTAGAGCGCGGACGCAGCCTAAGTTCAAGTGCGGAAAAACCACCCCGACACCCATAGTTGACATTGATTATCCCGGCAAAGCAACCTAACAGCGATGTGTAGGAGCATATCTGGAAGCATTCCCCTTAAGATTCAGATGATAATCCAGTTGTAGAATTCTGCTGTTCTCGCAGTCGTAGTCGCATTCGCGATGACAGTCGCAGTGGCAGTGGCAGTGGCAGTCGCAGTCACAGCCTCAGCCTCAGCCTGCCTCAGCCTCAGCCTCAGCCTGCCTCAGCCTCAGCCTGCCTCAGCCTCAGCCTCAGCCTGCTTCAGCCTCAGCATCAGTCTGCCTTCAGCCTCGGCCTCAGCCTCAGCCTGCCTCAGCCTCAGCCTGCATCAGCCTCAGCCTCAGCCTCAGCCTGCCTCAGCATCAGCCTGCCTCAGCCTCAGCCTCAGCCTGCCTCAGCCTCAGCCTCAGCCTGCTTCAGCCTCAGCCTCAGTCTGCCTTCAGCCTCGGCCTCAGCCTCAGCCTGCCTCAGCCTCAGCCTGCATCAGCCTCAGCCTCAGCCTCAGCCTGCAGCCTCAGCCAGTCTGCCTTCAGCCTCGGCCTCAGCCTCAGCCTGCCTCAGCCTGCAGCCTCAGCCTCAGCCTCAGCCTCAGCCTCAGCCTCAGCTCAGCCTCAGCCTGCTTCAGCCTCAGCCTCAGTCTGCATTCAGCCTCGGCCTCAGCCTCAGCCTGCCTCAGCCTCAGCCTGCATCAGCCTCAGCCTCAGCCTCAGCCTGCCTCAGCATCAGCCTGCCTCAGCCTCAGCCTCAGCCTGCCTCAGCCTCAGCCTGCCTCAGCCTCAGCCTCAGCCTGCTTCAGCCTCAGCCTCAGTCTGCCTTCAGCCTCGGCCTCAGCCTCAGCCTGCCTCAGCCTCAGCCTGCATCAGCCTCAGCCTCAGCCTCAGCTGCCTCAGCATCAGCCTGCCTCAGCCTCAGCCTCAGCCTGCCTCAGCCTCAGCCTCAGCCTGCTTCAGCCTCAGCCTCAGTCTGCCTTCAGCCTCGGCCTCAGCCTCAGCCTGCCTCAGCCTCAGCCTGCATCAGCCTCAGCCTCAGCCTCAGCCTGCCTCAGCATCAGCCTGCCAGCCTCAGCCTCAGCCTCAGCCTCAGCCTCAGCCTGCTTCAGCCTCAGCCTCAATCTGCCTTCAGCCTCGGCCAGCAGCCTGCCTCAGCCTCAGCCTGCATCAGCCTCAGCCTCAGCCTCAGCCTCAGTCTGCCTCAGCCTCAGCCTGCAGCCTCAGCCTGCAGCCTCAGCCTCAGCCTCCAGCCTCAGCCTCAGTCTGCCTTCAGCCTCGGCCTCAGCCTCAGCCTGCCTCAGCCTCAGCCTCAGCCAGCATCAGCCTCAGCCTCAGCCTCAGCCTCAGCCTCAGCCTCAGCCTGCTCAGCCTCAGCCTGAGCCTCAGTCTGCCTTCAGCCTCGGCCTCAGCCTCAGCCTGCCTCAGCCTCAGCCTGCATCAGCCTCAGCCTCAGCCTCAGCCTGCCTCAGCATCAGCCTGCCTCAGCCTCAGCCTCAGCCTCAGCCTCAGCCTCAGCCTCAGCCTGCCTCAGCCTCAGCCTCAGTCTGCCTCAGCCTCAGCCTCAGCCTCAGCATTCAAAATGTGGCCCGGGAATGGAGTTCTGGGAACTCGAAGACCACGAAGTGGCCTACAGTTGGCTCCGGGCATTCAAAATCATGCCCAGAAATGGAGTTCTGGGAACTCGAAGACCACGAATTGGCCTACAGTTGGCTCCGGGCATTCAAAAACATGCCTCGGAATGGAGTTCTGGGAACTCGAAGAACACGAAGTGGCCTACAGTTGGCTCCGGGCATTGAAAATCATGCCCAGGAATGGAGTTCTGGGAACTCGAAGACCACGAAGTGCGTTACTGTTGGCTAAAAAAGGAGTCCCTGGACTCCCGGGGCACCCGTCCGGCATCTGCCCAGACCCCCCTGGGGAGTCATGATGCTCTCTTTTGAGACCACTAGAAACCTATCAGTCTTCCTTGTTACGGAAAATCCCCCCGACACCCATAATTGGCATTAATTAAAAGGCCCTAGGCGCCTACTGAACAGCACAGTCCTGTTCGACTCCTGTTTTGGGTGCGTTGTCTAAACTACTTCGCTTGTATGGGGTGTTTATTATGAGGGTGTTGTTTCTGCTCAACCTGGGATCTTGGCACTGGGAACGCGAACACAATGCAATTTACGAGGGGTCGTGGTTCTCGGAGCACGGACGCTGAAGCGGCTCCAGTGAAAGTTTGTATTGGGGATAGTGGTCCTGGCAGCGCGGATCCAGCGGTGACGACTTACAGAGCAAGGTGGGTTGTCTGTTGGCGCGTTCCGTGGCACGTCTTTTGGCGCGTCTTTCGCACGTCCCTTGGCTTGCGCGTCTTCTCGCACGTCTGCGGCGCGTCCTTTGGCACGTTCCGTGACGCATCCCATGGCACGTCCCTTGGCACGTTTGCTGGCGTGTCCTCTGGCGCTTCCCCTGGCATGTCCCCTGGCGCGTCCACTGCCACGTCCCCTGACACGTCCACTGGCGCGTCCCGTGGCACGTTCCCTGGCTCGTCCTCTGGCGCGTTCTCTGGCTCGTCCTTTGGCGCTTCTCCTACCCGTTCCGTGGTGCGTCCCCTGGTGCGTCCCGTGCCACGTCCTTTGGCATGACGTCCCCTGGCACGCCCCTTGACACGTCCCGTGGCAAGTCCCTGACACGTCCATGGCACGTCCACTGGTACGTACCCTGGCACGTTCCTTGGCGCATCCCCTAATACGCCCCTGGCACACCCCATGGCGCGTCCATGCGCCCTGCGCCCCCTGTCAGTTCGTCCCGCTTCGGAATTGAATCGGACATTGAGCTCGAGCTGGTTGAGCGCCCCGTACGTTCCGACCACAGCCAGCTCTGGAAAAGTCATGCGGTCAGGCAGGTTGAGCTAAAGATCCAGATTAGTTCGGTCAAACTGCGGACGCCAATGACGACTGGATCCATAACGCAATAGAGTAACACGTCACGGTTCAACACCTGTACGCACAGCACAGGATGGCACAGCGTACTGCGGCACGGTACCGCTTCTGGCACGGTAGTATCACCAGTGATATCTTCAGCATTGCCATTGCCCATTGCCCAAACCGGGGCCGTTACATACATATGCTTCCAGGTTCGTGGGTCGATCATGTGTTGTCTGGGCTGAAGCCCACAGAGTCGGCGATGGGTGGTCGACAGATTAGCCATTGCAAATGTTGAGCCGCTTGGGTGCCGTGTTCGGCAGATCTTGCCCCCCCCCTCCACACACAGTCAAGCGCCCCCCCCGTAATTGTGCATGTGCATGCCTCCCGGGTGTTGTTGCTCCCTGCTTTGAACGGGGTCCAGGGGCATGGTGTGCTCGGTATGGTGCAACAAAGAGGTTGCATTTGAGACGCGTCGTTTTCCTCATCTGTGGTGTCATTTGCTCGGGGAAAGAGAGAGAAAGGGAGAACAAAAAACGCAACTGAAGCAGGACGCCCAGACCCCCCATCCGAGAGTCTTGCGTCAACCAGGCAGTGTCGGTCAGCGTAGTCACGCAGCAGGTTCGTCTCCGTAAAGTCGTACATGTTTAAACTCCCTAGCGGCTGCGCGGATGGAGGGTGGCGTCTTGTATGTTCAAGACATTGTTCTCGCGAGGGGCGATCAATCAGAAAAGGGTTCCCCACCTGCTTGAACTGCTTACGATTCAAATAATGGGATGAAGATCGCGTTTCCATATCGCGTTATTGAGATGGCTCCGCGGACACCGTTTTTACAATGTTGCCAGCTACATCGGTGGGTTGCGACCACCCCCTTACTTTCAAACTCATTGTGTTTGTAATTGTGCGCGGGTAAGTAAGTCTTATAGGATCGTGGATGCACGTGTCAGACCACATAGGGATTCTCGCCATGCAGATCCATGGGGCCCTGTCATGTCGATTGGGCTGCCGCCCCAGTGAAAGTGTCGTACTCTTCTTTGCGTACGTCTGGCTAGGGGGGGGGGCTGGAAATGGGAGGTTGTCTTTCAACACCACGGGGGTTGCGCTGCATTGTCCCTGGTCCCTATGTGTCTCCCCCTCTCCATCCCCCCCCTTGCCCACAAGCTGCTCCCGTCCTCACCCTCCCCCCCCCCCTTCCCTGGGAGGCGGAGGAGCAAGAGGTGCAGGAGGAAGAGTAGGGGGATGAGGATGACGCCGAGGACAAGGAGGAGGAGGAGTTGGAAACGGCGGAGGAGGAGGAGGAGGAAGAGGAGGAGGAGGAGGAGGAGGAGGAGGAGGAGGATCAGGCACAAGAGGATTAGGCACAAGAGGAGGACGAGGTGGAGGACCAGTGTAAACCCAAGAGCCATCAAGGATGTTGGAGTAAACCCTCCCTCCAGGCTCCCTCTGCATAGGCCCCTACAACGGTTCATTTCCACTGGGGGAACTACCTCGTTGGAAGACAACCGTTTGAAGACCCTCAAGCATGCCAAACCATTGTTCGCCGGATTCCAACGACACGGATCAACCTGATTGTTCCTTTTTTGGCAATCCTGAATCGTGCAGAACATTATTCTTGGGATTTTCACACCGCGAACTACTGTAACTGTTGCATCCTCATAATCCTGAATCCTTCCAGAACACCATTTCTGGTACGATGACCATGGGAATCCGTCAAATTCTTGCAAATTTCACGAACAAATGTGCGCTGCGCTAAGGCGAGAGCCACACTTTGGAAAGGAACCGCCCTCAATCCGTGAAGCTCTTGCACATGTTCAAAACGAATGTACGTGGCGCTATGGCGAGAGCCACATTTTGAAATCGGCCCGCCCTCGATCCAGGTATTCTTGCAATTTGTTTAAACGAGTATACGCGGCGCTAAGGCAAGAGCCACATTTTGAAAAAGACCCGCCCTCCATCTGTGAAACGGTTGCCAATTATTCAGCTCCAGGGTCGTAAACGGTGAGGAAGTCTGAGGCGAAACCGCCGGCCCGCCCTGAAAACTGGCCTCGGGGTGCGACAGGGAAAGGTTGTTTGTAAGGAAAAGGAATAACGGAGGAACGCATGAGGAGGAAGAGGAGGAGGCTGAGCGGACTACCCCCCCATACCCTTTCCAGGAGACGGAGGAGGCGCAGCTGGCGGCTCCAGGCGAACAGGGCAACGATCCGCAGGCGTTTACGGGATTGTTGTCTCCGAGGGTCGAGGGGATGATGTTGGTGATGATGATGATGACGACGACGATGATGATGATGATGATGATGGTGGTGATTATGACGATGATGATTGTGGTGGTGGTGATGTTCATTATGAGGAGAAGGAGGAGGAGGTGGTGGAGGAGGAGGAGGCTGAGGATGAGGATGCGGATGAGGACGAGGAGGATGATGATGATGATGTTGATGATGATTCTGGCAATGAGAAGGATGATGAAGATAAGGATGATGGTGAGGATGATGAGGATGAGGATAAGGATCGGAGGTGAGGGGGTGAGATCGAAGTGGAACGGAGAGCCCCCCTACCGGAAAATCGACTTCGGTTTCGTGTTCGTGCGTGCCGTGCGTGCGGGCGAGGCGAAGCTGCGTGGGAGGGCAAGAGAAAGTCTCCTGTGGCTGAGGCGCGACCCGACCAAATGTTTGGCGACCTGGCGTCCGGGGCCAGGCGGTGTCCCGCCGGTGTCCCGCCGGTGTCCCGGTGTCTCCGGCGAACGGTGCTGCGCGGTGTCCCGCTGGTGTCCCGCCGGTGCCCCGATGATGATGATGATGATGATGATTATGATGATGATGATGATGATGATGATGATGATGACGATGACGATGATGATGATGATGGTGATGATGAGGATGATGACGAGGATGATGATGATGGTGGCGTTGGTGATGATGATGAGGATGATGATGATGGTGGTGGTGATGACGATGGTGGTGGTGATAATGATGCTGATTATGATGATGATGATGATGACGATGTTGATGAGGATGATGATGAGGATGATGATGGTGGTCGTGATGATGATGGTGATGATGGTGATGATGGTGATGATGGTGATGATGGTGATGATGCTGATGATGATGGTGATGATGGTGATGATGGTGATGAGGATGATGATGATGTTGTTGATGATGATGACGTCGATTGTGAGATCGACTGTGATATCGATAGTCAGATCGATAGTGAGAGATGATGATGATAATGATGATGATGATGATGAGGATGATGACGATGATGATGATGATGATGATGTTGGTGATGATGATGTTGATGATGATGATGACGATGATGATGATGAAAATGACGATGATGAGGAGGAGGATGATGGTGGTGGTGATGATGACGACGATGATGATGAGGATGATGATGAGGATGATGAGGATGATGATGGTGGTGGTGATGATGATGTTGTTGATGATGATGACTATGATGATGATGATGATGATGATGATGACGATGATGATGATGATGAGGATGGTGATGAGGATAATGACGATGGTGGTGGTGATGATGATGACGATGATGATGATGGTGATGATGGCGGTGATGGTGATGATGGTGATGATGGTGATCATGGTGATCATGGTGATGATGATGATGGTGATGATGGTGATTATGGTGATCATGATGAGGATTACGATGATGATAATGTTGATGATGATGATGTTGATGATGATGATTGTGAGATCGATTGTGATATCGATAGTCAGATCGATAGTGAGAGATGATGATGATAATGATGATGATGAGGATGATGACGAGGATGATGATGATGATGTTGGTGATGATGATGTTGATGATGATGATGACGATGATGATGATGAAAATGACGATGATGAGGAGGAGGAGGATGGTGGTGGTGATGATGACGACGATGATGATGAGGATGATGAGGATGATGATGGTGGTGGTGATGATGATGTTGTTGATGATGACTATGATGATGATGATGATGATGATGATGATGAGGATGACGATGATGATGATGAGGATGGTGATGAGGATAATGACGATGGTGGTGATGATGATGACGATGATGATGGTGGTGATGATGGCGGTGATGGTGATGATGGTGATCATGGTGATCATGGTGATGATAGATGATGATGGTGATGATGGTGATTATGGTGATCATGATGAGGATTACGATGATGATAATGTTGATGATGATGATGTTGATGATGATGATTGTGAGATCGATTGTGATATCGATAGTGAGATCGACAGTGAGAGATGATGATGAGGATGAGGGTGATGGTGGTGATGAGTATGATGTTGACGATGATGATGACGATGATGATGATGGCGATGATGATGATGAGAAGGATGATGATGAGGGTGATGATGATGGTGGAGATGATGATGGTGATGATGGTGATGATGGTGATGGTGGTGATGATGGTGATGACGGTGCTGATGATGATTGTGATGATGGTGATGATGATGGTGATGATGGTGATGATGATGATGTTGATGATGATGATGATGATGTCGATTGTGAGATCGATTGTGATATCGATAGTCAGATCGATTGTGAGACCGAATGTGAGATCGATTGTGAGATCGATAGTCGAATCGATTGTGAGATCGATGCTCAGATCGATTGTGAGATCGATCGAATGAGATCGCTCGTTAAACTATCCTGAGATCGATTGTGAGATCGAATGTGAGATCAATTGTGATACCGATAGTGATATCGACAGTGAAACCGAATGTGAGATCGATTGTGAGATCGATAGTGAGATCGATTGTGAGATCGATAGTCAGATCGATTGTGAGATCGATCGAATAAGATCGATAATGAGATCGATAGTGAGATCGACGATAGTGAGATCGATCGAGTGCGATGTTGCTTCCTCGCCCCCCTCACCTCCTTATCACCCGAAGGGTGGTCGTATAGGTAAGGATGATGATGATGCTGATGATCATTATTAGTATCATTAATATCATTCGTATTGTTATGATTATGAATGTGATGATGATGGTGATGATGATGCTAATGATGATGAGGAGCAGGAGGAGGATGAGGAGGAGGAGGAGAAGGAGGCGGATGCGGAGGAGGAGGACGAGTTGGGCGATGGATGAGGGCTAGAGTGAGGGTGAGGACAAGGATGAGGATGAGGATTAAGATCAGGATGATGATGGTGATGATGATGTTGATGACGATGATTCTGATGACGATTGTAAAGGTGATGGCGATGGTGATGGTGGTGATGACAATAATAATGATGGTAATGGCGATGGTGATGATGCTGATGACGACGATGATGATAATGATTATGATGACGGTGACGATGACGATGACGATGACGATGACGATGATGATGATGATGATGATGATGATGATGATGATGATGATGATGATGATGATGGTAGTGGCGGTGGTGGTGATGAATGATGATGATGATGATGATGATGACGGTGACGATGACGATGACGATGACGATGACGATGATGATGATGATGATGATGATGATGATGATGATGATGATGGTGATGGTGGTGGTGGTGGTGGTGATGATGCTGATGCTGATGATGCTGATGGTGATGGTGATGGTGATGGTGATGGTGATGATGGTGGCGATGATGATGATGATGATGATGATGATGATGATGATGAGGAGGAGGAGGAGGAGGAGGAGGAGGAGGAGGAGGAGTGGAGGGAGGATGAGGATGAGGAGGAGGAGGATGTGGAGGAGGGAAGGGGAGGGAGGGGGAAGAGGATGAAAAGTCAGTGAAGGATATGTGCCCACATGCGCGAGCTGGCTTCGCCCGGCTGGGGCGGGTCCGAATGGAAGGCGGCCCTGACCGAGGCCGTGCGCCACCTTCTTTCCCAGGAGGCGCTGCTCACGTCTGACCGCACCAGGACCGAGAGGGTCCTCACTGCATGCATCAACACGGCGCACTTCCACCGGCGACTCCTGGCGACGTCGACGCGGGAGGTCGTGCAGGAGGCACTCGAAGAGCGCACCCAGGAGAAACAGGGCCAGAGCCGGGGTCGATTGGTCTGGGCCGCGCACCCGCTCCGCGGCACCGCACCGCGGGCACGGACGCAAGCGGGCGGCTCGGGCGGGTGGCAAAGGGGGGTGACCCAGGTGGGTGGTAATGGGGGAGTGACCTACGTAAATGGGGGAGAACCCTAAAGGAGCACTTTAGGGCCCCTTTTGGAGCAAGCAGGGGGCCCTAAAGGGGCCGCCCAAACTGCTCCTTTCACGGACCTTGTCTTCGCCCTCAGGCACCACCACTGGGGCACTTTAGGGCCCTTGTTTTCTTTAGGGGCACTTCAGGGCCCTTTTCTTGCACGTGAGGGCACGGTAGGCTTTGAGGGCCCGAAAATGCCCCCCCTTCTAGCTCACCCCCCAGAGCCACCCGCCCGGTCTGGGCCGCGCGCCCGCTCCGCGGCGCCGCACTGCGAGCGCGGGCGCCAGCGGTCGGCCAGCCTGGCCGCGGCGGGGGCCGCCGCCCCCCCCCTGAGGCTTGGCATCGCTCGGACGTGTGCTTTTTTTTCTCGGCGTGAACCATCGAGGACCACCCTGGACCATCGAGCACGAAGCCGAAAACTGCACGGGAAATGGACGTCCGAGCGACGGCGAGCCGCCGGGGTCGGCCCGGGCCCCGCCCCTCGGGCGAGCGGCGGCGGGCGGCCCCCGGCGCGCCCACGAAGCAGACGGCCGCCCTGCGCAGACCGAGCATATGAGGGGCGGGAGGACCGCGCGGGGAGCCAGGCCGCCCACGCCGCGGGCGCCAGCCCTGGTCCTCCTCCTCCTCCTCCTCCTCCTCCTCCTCCTCCTCCTCCTCCTCCTCCTCCTCCTCCTCCTCCTCCTCCTCCTCCTCCGCGGTGGGAGACCCTGTGCTCGTCTGGAGCCGCTGCCGCGCGCAGTGGCTCCACGGCAAGGTGGCCAACACCTTCGTCACCGACCAGTTCCACGACGGTTCCCAGGTATACCGTGCGCGTGACGCCCCCCGCAGGCACGAAGCACGTCGTCCCCGAGCTCCTGGACTACCCCCGCCGCGACCGCCCCCCCGCACTCCGGGCTGGGAGAGCACTGCTGGCGGCGGCCGTGGCCAGCCTGCGGGGCGCCCCGTCAGCGGCCTTCGACGCGCCGCCCAGCCTGGAATGCCGAATCTCTCGGCGGAGCCACCTGGTGGAAGCGCTCGAGGAGGGAGACGAGGCGGGGGCGGCAAG